AGGGTGTCATTTGGTTTTTTTTTTTAGGTTAATTGCTCGAAAGTGAGGGTGAGAAATAGGATGATGAGTATGTGATGTTAGCCTTGTGAATGAGTTGCTTGAAATTGATGTTCGAATTATCTCGGTGCCAAGAAAATATTAAACTTGCCGTATAGTCTCTCTCCATCATTGTTGCCCAATTTAACATTTTACTACGTATTCTGTCGGTGTGTGACATTTGAAAAACGCGTTCTAACAATAAAACGCAAGTACCCTTAATTGAGAAACTACCCGATACACTTTAAATAAAAATGAATCATTTTGGGATTAGAAAATGAAAACTGACAATTTAATGTACTCAACCGACAAACTTTAATACAGTGCGAGTGGGTCCTGACAAAATTAGTCAAAAGGATTTGTTTTGCTTATTAGTCAATTTCATATGCTGTAAAAAGAACATCGTGTTATATATTTCGATATACCACTGACTTTGTCAACTTAATATAGGGTGAGTCAAAAAGAAAGTGACTAGGATTATTTTGTTTCCTTAAAAAACAATTAAACTTGCTACTCAAAAAGTATATATTAGACGCACATATTCTTCCACTCATGTTAAAGAAATATAATTACTGAAATTGGTCCATGCTATCAAAACTTATGCATGATTTATCCAAGTTTTTCTGGCATTACTTTCTGTTTGACTCACCCTGTATTAGGTACAAAATTTTTGGCCGATTAATGTTGACTGTTCCCATATTTTTGTTAAAAAAGTTATCCCACGTGACTCGTTCCTCGTTAAGTTGGATTATGTTACGAAATGCTGTTCTTTCAGTGGCGTAAATCTGTGCCGGGGACTGGGGGGATGACTAAAATCACAACATTTCTCGGCCGTGGAATTAAATGGGGGGGGGGGGGGGCTTGGCTTGCTGGACACCACATGACACTAGGGGCGCTGTTCATGATACAGATGTATATCTTACGTATACTTACGCCCCTTAACCTTACATCAAAACGGCGCATTCAAAGCTTCGAAAATAAAAAGTGGGGGATGATCTAATGGCCCCCCCCCCGTCAAAAGTGGGGGGGGGGGAATATATACCCCCATCCCCCGGCCCCGGGATTTACACCCCTGTGTTCTTTCGGCTTTGAAGGTGCACGACACGCAGACTGATTGCCTGCTCATTTGTAGCCCACAAACCCTAATGTGCCAAGTTCATGAATATCCGCGTCTGTGCCGACCGTGCGGTAGTTTTCCCAACCTCATCCATCAAGCCCCGACGTCCGCTTAATTCGTGTTTAGTATTCGAACGACTTCCCCTCATTAACGAAACGCGGGATTTGGGTTTCTGCCTGAAGTGCCAATCGCTGAAGTTCTTGACATTTTTTTTTTTGGCGGTCTTTTGTCTTTGCGTAACTCTATGAAATGTCGAGACAGCCGCTGACCGCCTCTGGACGTACATGACTATAGGCTCTACAGCGCCTTGCTAAAATTACCTCTTTAGAATGTTTACCGTAATGAATTGTTTCCGTTGACATTTTCTGAATAAAAAGCGACAGGCTGCACACAAAGGTATAGGGTGCCATTCCGGAGACGATGTAATTCTGACTTGATTCATTGTCGTAGGCTATAAGTCGGTGGAGTTGTCCTCACAGACCGATCTCGGAGGAGTTGGGTTTCATTTGATTTGCTTCCCGTTTGTTTGTTCACAGTGGCAGAGTTATTTTTCAAGGTTTTTATTGACGTTTTGCCACTGAAACCGGGGAAATAAACACTGTGCATTTAGGCCTATGTCACGTATCTATCGTTCGTCTGTTGGCGCGTTGGGACTACTCGGCTAGTCTGAGTATCACCCGTTATCCACGGAGCCAATTCTCCTGTACAGCGTCTGAGATATCTAAGCATGCGTGACGTCACTAAATTCCGAAATCAGGACTAAGATCGTGATTGGTCAATTTCGATGCCACGTTTTTGTAATACAACAACCTGTACAAAAATCTTACTCAACGCGGGCGTGATTTTTACGCCCGCGGCTGTCTGGATCTAAAAGCAAGGAGAACCATGCTTGTTTCGCTCTAAAGCTTAAAAAGCCATCTTCGGTAGAGTAGGGATGGAAATGATAAAATGTAGGCAAAGTATAAAGTAATAAAAAGTCAGGCAAACACTGCGACTGTCCAAATAAGATTGTATAATTAATGAAATAAATTCCGGAAACATGATCTAATGGCCGCTTCGTCAAAGTGTTTTACGCCGGTTAGGCGGCCGTAATCACTGTGTAAAATCTGCAAGCATTTGTCCCCCCGTTTCTATTCAAAATGTATTGTTCAATTAACCCCCTTTTCATGTAAAATTGTAGTTAATGACCGAACATAAGGATTTGAAAAACAGCCCATGCGGCTTCTGATTAGAGAAGGAGATCTATATGCACGCGCATTATTGACATGGCACACTTGGGCATATCGTCAATCAAGTTGAAATGTTTGTTGTTCACCTCGGAAATGTCACGGTAAAATTACCATTCCAAACCAATAAGTATGATAATTCAGACAAATTGGAAATTTGTTGATTAACGACGTTATCTGACTTCTGAATTTCGAGGCTGATGCATAGAAGTATTTAAAAATGAAAAAAACACGAGCACTTCATTAGGAACTTCAAGACAAATTCGAGTCAGCATCCTCCCTCGCTGCTTTTAAACTGTCACCGGTTATTGGCTTAATAAATTGAATGGAGCGAAATACTGTCTCGGGAAAGTCACACTAAAGAGTTTACTAATTTGCTCGAAATTGTCTCCAAATTGGAGCTCCCATTTTTCGATATCCATTCTCTGGACGTGCATGTGGTTTACTTCACCTTAACTAATGTGTCCGAATGTATTTGCTACTTGAGAATAAGTCAATTCTGCTCGCAAATTGCAACCGTATGAAGGAATGAAGGATTTTTTGAAACGAAGTTGGCAAGTAACTAGTTTTGAGTTGGCATAGAACATGCGTCCACTTTCCAAGTCTTAATGCAGAAAAGATCAAATGTAATTGCTACATTTCGTCACATAGTTCACATTAAAACTTTTTATTTTTTTACAGGAATGGAATAAAAACACGGGACTTCCAATCTGTGTACATTGGTACGTAGGCCTTCAAAGCGAGTCTTAATTGTTGCGGGAATAGACTATAAGAACAAGTGAAATCGGATATAATACGAAAAAAAGGTAACCTTTCATGACTATCACTTCCTAACGAAAGTGTGTTTTTAAGATGTCTATTTTAACGGCAATGCCTATATACAAAGTGTATGTGATCATTTGCTTTTCATGCATTTTGTTCGTTATCAATGATAACACGACTCCAAACCCAGAAGAATGCTCAAAACTTAACCTCGAGAAAACAGTGAAAAACCCTGCACAACCTTTTGATCACGAAACACGATTTCGTCAGTAACACTCTATATTTCCAAAAATCTCTCAATGGACTGATCGTTGGAAATCACGTACATTTTTGGATGTAGGTAGGATCACGTATGTTTCTTTTACATACGCTATGCGGACTTTTCCTCTGTTTTCGTGTAGTGAAAATTCGGTACAAAAAATAACTTTACTTTAACTGTGAAAACTCTTTCAACCCACTTTTTTCCCCTATGATTCCCTTTAGTGTTTCTCCTCATTTTGCCACAGGTAAACCTAACCCAAAAATGCCTCTGAACCTGTTTTCCAGAGAGGGCAAAACGTTATGTGGACACGGTTTAGTCCACATAACGTCAACACAACCTGCAAATATGTGGACATCTTTTGTTCACAAGTCCACATAGTGAATGTAGACAAACTCTGTAGTCCAAGTAAGCTTTCTGATAATAAGTCGGTATGTTGCTTTTGGGGATAAATGCAAATTATATGCCTTTGGGCGTTCTGACCTTTTTAAACGTTTGTTGAAACACATTTAGAGCTGCAAGAAACGATCTTATGCACGAGGGAGAAATGATATCCTGGATCTGTACTGCGAGGAAGACGATATGACGGGCGAAGAGGCAGAACATGATACGGTTTACGGAGGAGGGGGAGAATGATGGATTGCCTGCCCCGGGAGGAGGCAGTGTGAGACCGCGGCACCTCGGGCACTTCATCACGGTCAACCGTCCGCGGACCGTGACTCCTCGAAATCTTGACCTAACATTTCCTAACCATCTTGAAAGGTATTTATGACGAGTCAACTGAGTAATGGAAACACTCCAGTCATTGGGCGACTGCAGTGATATGTTTAAATCAGTCATAAAGTCTTCTTTTTTGTTAACACCATACAGACATTCCGATAAGCAAAACGATGCAATTATATAACAGTTGGAAAAGCAGACAGTGTGGATTGAACACAAGGTCCTTTGATTTTAAAGAGGTACAATTAAAATAGGTTTCCCCGAATTATACTTTAATACTAGCGTACGGCGAATTATAATGAAAATTTGCGAATAACATCGAGCCACAAAACACGAAATCTATGCAGATTTAAAGCTACAAATAATTATGCCCAACGATGTCAAGGAACAATTTCAAGTATCTCTCCATCGAATCTGTATATTTACACAAATGTGGATTAAAATAATCATCATGTATTCGGTTCAGTTCTTTATAAGTGATTTGTAACGTCTCCTCGTGCTTCCACTTTAGTGATGTGAAGTTGCTACTATCATCCATCATGTTTTCGGACACTCAACTTTTTGATTCTTCTTTCACAGAGAATCATGTCACTTGACCAAAAAAACACACACAGAAACTTGACAAAATCCTAAATGAGTTTACATTGAACATAACACTTCAGTATTAAGGCGAGCCAAATACTGTTGCAGGTCCCCAAGGTTTTTAAATTCTTGTTTCAGAAACTATTGGCTAGACATTCCATGCACTTTTTGTCAACTACTTGGGCCTGACTGACTCTGCCCAAAGGTTTGTTGCAATTGTATACGGACATTGTAAAATGACAAACACGGCACAACAATTGGTACGAATCATAAAATAAACTAAGTGGTCGAGCCTTACCTCAGATTGTTGTTGGTGTTTTCTGTCCAAGTTTCTAACACTCCGACGTCCGATGAATTCTTTTACCCCGACAGACAGAAGTAACAAAAGGACGGTTGCAGTGACGAATTCCGACTTGTTAATCTTTCACTCTGAACCAAATTATGGCGATGTGACAACTTTTATACGCGGCGGCGAAGCGCGGAGCCGTGCACATCACGTGATCCCCCGACGTACGAACTGCTCATCAAATATTCAACGCGTACGCACTCTTCTCGTTTTGGCGCCATTTTTCCACCAATGCGCGCGCCGTTTCGGCCAATTAGCTCGCAGCTTTGCGCGCCGAGGCTGGTGACGGATGGTTACAATTTCGCGCCGATTTTACACGTCAACGATTGGGTGAATGAAGCGTTTGTGCAGCGCCAATGTGAATAATCTCATAACATTATTTGTAAATGTAAGCAGCAAAAAGGAACTGGAGCAGTTCTTAGAAACTCATAAATAATGAATGTTTTTTTTCAGATGCAACATTGTAGTTGGAATAATTAAGCAGCTCCCCATTAGGCACCATTATTTGTCTGTCATTTTGAGTGTTTGAGAAAGTGACAAAATGGGCCCTTTTCACGAGTCGGCCATATTGAATTGAAAGTTAGGTAAAATCTTAATTTTTGGAATTTACAAAGATAATAAATTTCAGTCTGCTTCAATGAATAATTTAACATTTGTAATTAAACATTCCCTAATTAAACATTCCCTAACGGCCGTAATGGCCCTTTAAGTTTTTTGTTTTTCCATAAATGACAATGGAATTTTCAAATATATGAAAAATATCCAATTAAGTAGTTTCTCTTTCTTTCTTGCGTGACAACTTGAAACTTTATAGATGGAGCAACTTTTCAAAATTTGAGACTTTAGCGTTTATTTCTCCCTTAAACTTTCCAAAAGAATATACATTTTGACAAAAAATTACAAAAAATAATGAAATTAAAAATTAAAAATAAAACCACGGCTTCTTGTTATTCACATCAAAGCGTGGATAATGGTTTATAATCCTCTCTCTTTTTCCCTTCTTCCCTTTTCGTAAAACCTGAGCTTGGTTATAATATCTTCTTATTGAATTATTTATTTGCCAATAACATTGCCGGCTTCCCGATCAGCGGAGGGAAGGCGGAAATATCATCTCTTTCAAATTTACCGAGACAGGCCCTAATCAGGCAGTGTAAACCGATCTGCTCGGACCGAAGTGCGGGGGGGGGGGGGGGGGACAGTTGGGTATTTTGGCTTAGAGTCCAAGACTGATCACGATATCAACCTCGGCCGGTCACACTCTACGTCTGTGCCGTAAGAGGCATGCAGAAAATGATAAGTTATTCCGTGTAATCTTTGAGAAGAATATGACGGCCAGTTTTAATCTCTTATAACATTCTGGGGAATTATCATATATTTTTTAATGTGCTTTGTGCAGGCGCGGCTCTAGGGGCTTTATATTGCGGGGGGGGGGGGCGAGCAGACGTGGATCCAGATATTTTTGCAGAGAGGCGTGCTGAATGGTAGACAGGTTCTTTTCTCCGGACACTTGGGCCTCCGAAAATCAATGGGGGAGGGGGGGGGGGTCCTCGTACCAAATTTTCAGTGGGGAGCGCTGGTAACATCCTACAATCATGCATTCTATACTTACAAATGCCCACTTCTCACGATTATTTTATTTGGGGGGAGAGTCCGGTGACTGTTCGCATGTGACGTCACCCTGCTATTTCATTTTTTGGGGGGTTACATTTTATTTTTAATTCTTTTTTTTTGGGGCCCCCCTCTTTTAGCCCCCCGCGTAGACCCACTCATGCAGTGGCGTCGCCAAGGGGGGGGGGGGGGGGGGGGGGGCACGTGGAAAACCTAGTGCCCCCCCCCGAGTGCCCCCCCCCCCCATCAAATGCTGGTGCCCCCCTATCCTCTGCAAAATTCTGCGTGTTGTTAAAATCATTACCTCAAAAATAGCAATTTCTGGAGATATCTTCAGATCGAATTTAGCATCAAATGTGGCACCATTTTGCATCTAGCCCATCCTCCGTGTGCGAAAATTTTCCAAAGGGGAGGGGGTACCCCCTCCCCTTAGACCCCTCCCCCAGGACGGCGATCCGTATCCACCTAAGTGCCCCCCCCCCCATCAAATGCTGGTGCCCCCCCCCCTGTGCCCCCCCAGACTGAAAAGTCTGGTGACGCCACTGCACTAATGACCTTTTTCTTTGGGGGGGGGGGTGGATTAAGGAAATGCATTTGGTATAGCCTCCAAGTTATCTGTGGAAATTGTCATATTGGACTTGGCCTTACGGTAGAAGCTAATACAAATCAGTAGGCTTAAAGGCAAGAATCAGGTGATTTGCATGCATTTTGTTCGTTGCCGGTAATATCACCACTCCTAATCCAAATAAGAACGTTAAAAGCCTAACCTGTTGAAGTTTCTGATCTGCGATTATTACAGTTTTCGAGAAAAGAAAACAGCGAAAAACCATGCATAACCTTTTTTTTATCAGGGTTTTAGTAGGGTACTTTTGGGTAAATGCAAATGATCCTATATGCCTTTAATTAGGCGCAACGTTGCCCTAAACGATAGAATCAGTTTGCATGCTCCTGATCCTCTCAAGTCTCCTAAACTGAGATTTTTGGTGGCTCTTGCATCTGCGTTTAGGGGAAAATAAGTCCGAAATGTGCCCAAGTTTAGGACTGTAGTGGGGGTTTGTTTAATCCAAGAAGACCAATGGGCATCGGTACTACTTTAACAGTTAACAATCTTTGCAGATAAATGTTACCGGAGGGGCTTTGGATTCCCCTGAAATAGAGTACAAATTAAAATATAATGCTTTTTGATTATAATGCACTTTGATTCTTTTTAACCTTAGAGATTTGTGAGTATTTCTTCCGTGTTTTTGTCTTGTTTTTGATTCTGTGATTGTTATGCGTGAGGTATTGATGTCCGTGGCAATTTATTTCCCGGTCTATAACCCACGGGACTACCGTGCGAAAGGCTTACGGGGATCTAATTCTCTTACTTTTTGTATCTTCTGTTTGCCTTGTGCGTTTAAAAATGTTAATGTCGTCCTAATGTGACAAAATAATCATGGGCTGCGATACGGGGGAGTCAGTCTCGTGGGCACCCGCGTGTTATGTCGCAAATAATTCCACCGTGTCGGAGTCGTCACGTCGCCCGTGTGATCGCCTCACACTTCGGTCGAGGCTGACGCGCCTCGACCCGCTGCGGAATTGGCCGGTTAGTGGAAATTCTTTATTCGGTCTTTAATTTTCGCGCTCTTTTGAGATATGGAGATTTGGACTCCCAAGCGCCAGTTGGCTGTCGTCGTTTTGCTTCTATAGTTTCGTGAAGGGGTTGGGTGCACTTTTAAAAGAAATGGAAATATGATTAAAACTTATGATGGAATATTCCCACAGGGAAAACTTGCCAATGTTTGTGAACCTCGTAAGTTTTCTTTAGTGGTTCTTGTTGAGAAAAGGGAAACATTTGCTCATTTAGTTTATTGTTTATTTATTTATTCGTAAACACTTACCTGTTTTTAAATCTTATTTCTTGTTGATTTAATACACAAACGGGGTAAAAAACAGCAGATTTTATAAATTCAATTCATCAAGTGTCCACAACGAGAAACCCAACTGAAAATACCCTGCCGTTTAGACGCAAAGTGTTGTTTTAGAAGGCGTTCAACTTTAGATGCCTTTTTCTCCGATTGCTAGTTTGTACAGGTATGTACATGGGTGTTACTTCGCGGTGTTGCTGATAGTGAATAGCTCATCGCAAAACATGGTGTGCTGTGGTCTCGTGGTCTGGAGCATTGAATTCGCTGTCTAAGGGTAATTCCGCAGGTTGTGGGTTCGAGTCCAGCCTGGGGCTATCGTGCGTTAGACCTTTGACAAGGCGCTTTGTCACTCATTGCTTCTCTCCACCCAGGAGTAGATGGGTACCTGTGAGGACAGAAATGATTATTGTGATTGATTTCCACTGCTTTGCGCCGAAATGGCAGCATTGAGCTGTATACTCCACAGGGATCTGGGATGGTATTTGGAATGTTTCATTGGCCCAGTGGGCAGGGACATCATGAGGGCATTGTACCGTTTGGCAATTTGGCGATCTATAAATCAAGTTATTATTATTATTATTATTAAAATGTATTTCCAAATATGTACACGATTCCTATTGACGTTTTTGCATGGTAGGCCTAATTCCCATTAGTGGTCAGTCGTAATTTTATGCAAACCCATTTCGTGATGAACGTATTATTGTTATTTTAGCCCCGAATTTAATATATAATACGGCCAGCATCTTATAATACCGTAGCGGACTGACAGACCTTCACTTGCCAATTCGTGACTTCGATATTGGCTCTAAATCGCTCTGGTGTCTATATTGATGCACTGTGACGTCTATACATTGGATGTGTTTCAAATAAATTGTTTGAACTATTTTGAGGGGTTCTTTTTAAAGGTTTTTCCCTTCATATTTCTTACACTATTTGTTCGTATACTTATTCACTCTCTTGTTCATTTCCCTTTGTTTTGATTGACTTCTCAGCATTCGTAGCGGTGTTTACAACTTGAAGTTTATATAATGCATCATAATGTGTAATAGCTGATCGGCTTTTTATGGGCGTCCCGCCCTGCCTAGCCCGTAGTTAATGTCTGTCCTGGAGATCGGTCGATTATTGCTGTCGTAGTAATGGCAGTGTTGGTGGATGTCGTTGCTTTAGTTCATGTCATTGTCGTCATTGTTGTCGTCACTGGAGTCATTGATTATACGTATTGCTGCCATTTTGTCGTGTTTACTGTTCAAGTACAATCATTGTCGTTGTTGTAGGTGTTGAAATGGTCACTATTGTCGTTGTCATTTTTGTCGTCATTATTGTCGCAGATGTCACTTTTGCCGGTGTCGTAGTTGCTGATATTGACGTTGACATTGGACTAGTTAATAATATCGTGGAAACATTGCTGTTATTTTGTCTCGTTTGATTGTTTTAGAACCATTGTTGTCGGTGTTATAGCTGTCGTCGTCATTTTTGTCGTCGTTATTGTTACATATATCACTTGTGTCTGTGTTGTAGTTGTCGTCATTAGTGCCGTAGATATACTGCTGCTATTTGTTCG